TAAGTCAAATTTTTAATATATCTTTAAAAGTTATTAAAAAACGTATTTTATAATTATCTTCAGGATCACTTTATTGATCATTTCTGATCGTGTACTGATTTAACTCAAAAAACTTTAGTTACCATGAGGTAAGTCCTATTCTTTCTAATAATTATTATAATTTTGAAACGAAGTCCATATGATTGTGAAATTTTTAATAATTATATATGAATAACATACTAAAACAAGTTTTTTGTACTAAAATTTTAATAAACACAATAATATTTTACACTTTACTATATTTTACTGGCCACATTACCGTCAACTTGAGTAATAAATATCTGTCTTCAATGCAATCAATCTTCTAGAGTAGTGTATAATTGCCTGCCATTTCCCAAAATACATTTGAATATATCTGGTAAACATATTTTTTTAATTTGTATTATTTGTTTTATGTACAATGGCTTTATATTAATCTTATCAATAGGTTTACTCATTCATAACAATGTGCATATATGTACAACAATTCATATATAATTAAATCATATTGTTCTTCTGATATACCTATATCATAAATTTTTAAACCATTTTATGAGTAACTCGTTCAGGAAACCACATCGCAGATAGATTTTAATATTTCTATCATTGTCGGAGTTTACTGAAAATTTTGACTATAACTTTAATGTTATTTTTGAGTAAATACGATATTCAATTGACTGAATTATATTGCGTATTTTAACATAAGAAATAGGTGAGATAATCTATTAACAACTTTCTATTGCCAACTGAAAAATCCTAAACCGGCTGTAGCACTGTCTCCTTATTTAGATCTTTCGCTTGTCTTTCAACTCATTATTTTTATTATTGTTTCATTACCAAAGTGTTACGTTAGATTTTCGTATTTTAAATAGAAAGTTCGAATAGAATATTTAGATGTCAGTTTTTATTATTTTTAAGAGTAATATCGATGAGAACTGTATACAGCAACTTATCTAATACGACAGCGTTTGAATTCCATTCAATTCTTTATTTCTACCTATAGATAGAATATCATACAGTCCCGTCTAGTTCATAAAAAGCTTATTGTTTACAAAACTAAATTATATGGTATATATAAAAAAGCTGGTATATAATTCTAAAGTTCTTAAAGACGGCCGATGAAAAAAAATATTAATATATGATTAATTTGTATGATTTATACAAATTGTATTTGTATTTGTAGAATATTATCAATTGCACTTCTATACAATTATTTATATAATACTCATATCTGATCTAAAAAACCGTATATATTATAAATTAAGGTAAAATCAAGTTACTTCATAAATCAGCGAATCTCTCTCTTCCTAATGTTATTAAATCTGCATAATCTGAACCATATGAAATCAATTTCGGACATGTGTAAAAATACAATTCGAACAGAAATAAATCATTTCTTTTGAAATCAAAATCACATAAATAGATTTATACATTCCACTGGGTTCCTGTGACCGTAAATGTGCTGTGTGCAAACAAACAAACCGAACCGAACCGAACACCCCAATAAACAAATAAGCTAATTGAATGACCTTCAAACTCTTGAATCTTGAACTGCAATTTTTAGCTTTTAAATATGGTTCCGGGTTTCAATATTGTAGGAATGAATGTGTTTTGACAAGCTCCACGAGGGCACTTCCCATAGATTTTTTGCCACTGTTCAGGCGGCTTTTCTTTTATAATATTTCTCCTTTTTTTTGTACTGCTTTTCCGCATCACTTCCAAATTGTTTTTTTATGTGGGTACCAACAAAAATTGACTACAGATACAATTTTTTTTTTTTGCTCAGATACATTGCTTTTTCTTCTAATATTTGCTTATAGCTGGTGATGTTGCTGCTATTGTTATTGTTTGTGGTTGTTGTTGTTGTTGTTACCATTTTTGTTAGCTTTGCTGTGTTAAATTGGAAGAGCGTTGAATTGTAGCTCCAACTTCTGTTGGCCACATTCATAAAGTAAAAGCTTTATTATTTATTATTCCGTTGCCGTTGCTGACCAATTTTTGCCAACCAAACACATTTTTCTCTTTTCCACGTTTATATTTTTCAATCGAAAAGCAAAGAAAATTAAAAGAATTGGCTATGGTCGACCAACATACCGAATAGCCTTGGGGGTCCAATGGTTAAAATAGCTCCACTACACATAAATCATACGGTTAAGCATGTATCTCAAGCTTAACGTTGAGTGTTTGTGGTATCTGTGCACTGCACAGTTTTACTTAATGCCACTAATGTTGATGGTGATTGTGATTGTGACTGTTATGGTTCTGTTAGTACTGTTGTTGTTACTGTTCGTGTTGTTTTTGTTGTTGTTGTACATGTAACAATTTATGTTTTAGTAACTAACATTTATTTTATTTTTTTCATCTTCTATTAGCTCCTTATTGCTGCTGTTTGGTTATTTAAACTGATATCGCGCAATTGATATACCATATGCATAGCAAACGTAAAGTATCTCAATGAGTGGCATTATTTATAAATATCAAATCGATACAAGTAGATAGCATAGCAACATAGATACACACACTTGCATGTACCGCCACTCATACATGCAATTACATATCGACTTACGTATAAGCGCAAATAAAGCAGCTTATAAACATATACTCGTGCTAAGCTCAGCCAGTGGCTGTGGATGTGGCTGTAAATGTGGCTTTGGCTATAGCCATTGTTGCCATAACCACAGTGCATATGGCAACAGTGCCGCATTGGCATGCCATAAGATAAAAAATCACTTTGTGTTTGCTTATCCAAGGAATATGCAAGTGCAAATGTATCTGTGTATCTGTGTGAGAATGTAACCTTGTGTGTGGGTGTGTGTGTCTGTGTGTGAGTGCTCTGTTAAACTCCCAAAGTGCACATCATGATTTTATTAAATAGACTCTGATGTATTTATTGTCCAGCGACAACGTGACTTGTAAATTGATTTCATTTGATGAAGCAGTTGTGTTAAATTGTAACTCATGCTTAAGTTTATGTGATATTACATGTGCTGTAAGCCAATAGATGAAAAATTTTTTTCTACCAAAACTATGAAGAACATACTGTGCAAAAAAAAAAAGAGAACTCATCTCATGCGCCGCTTAAACTAACCAAACTGCCAAGCATCAAGCCGTACCACCAACTAAAGCCAACCAACCAATATACGAAATATCAACTTAATTTCAGTATTTTCTATCTTTTTCTTTTATTTTTTTGGTAAATTTTCTTTTTGTTTTTGTATTCGTAAGGATATGGCTAACAACCACAACAACAATAACATTGGCAGTTTTTGCGTATCACTGCGGAATATAAATTTTTTGCTTCATACAACAGCAAAGGATCAGTGGCCACAAATTGTTGTGGCGGAAGTGTGAGATTTTTGATGAACAAATGGTTTCATGCTTAGATACATTTTATCCCATTCTCTGGTAACTCTGCTCCAAATGCGCTTAAGATATAACGTATTGAATGATTATCTTATAGTTTTGTTATTCTATGTAAACAAACAAAAAGGTTACAAATTTTTATGTTAAGACCTTGAGCTTAATTTGTGGTAACAACGGTTAGAATTATTTATGGTAAACCAAGACAACCATACATGTATATACGTAGTGATGTAATGAAAGCATGAACTTCCTACAATGTTTTATTAAGAAACTCTTCTTCAATATTCGACATTGAAATCCAGTTATTGCGGGGAGTTGTGTTTTACGAGCAACTCTAGCCTGGTGCCTCGATTAATTAGTTCCTCTACTGATCACAACTCGACCGCTTCAACGAAACAATTAAGAAAAAGCGTTAGGAATTTGCCAACAGAATAGGAGTTGTATTACATCATGACAACGCCAGACCACATATTTCTTTAATGACTCGAAACAAATTGATAGTTTGGTTAGGAACTTTTATTGAATTTGCTATATAGCTCCTACCTAGCAGGGTGAACCTTCTTCAACATTTTATACAAAAACTCTTCTTCAATACTCAATATTAAAAGTTAAAAAAAAACTAAAATTATATGACTAGAGATTATAAATAAATACATCCCGCTATTAGACTATCGCTCACAATTTCTATAAGAAGATTAGTGAAACTAAAATGAAATCTTTACTTATGTTAAACAATCAATATCAGCTATTAAATAGTCAAGAGAAAGTTTTGGTGTCAAAATGCAATTTAAAGTGTTCATGAGACCATTCTAAGGAGACAGTCATTTCAAATTTTAATGATCCTAAAGGATTTCTACAAATACAAAAGCCAAACTATATTATATTCCTAATATAATATAGTTAAAAAATGTATTAAATATAATAATATCCAATGCAAACGATCATCATCAAAAGCTGGTGACGTTTCATGAATGACTTCAAAGCCTTATGTTGAGTGTTTGATGGAACGTAAAGGGAATTATTATTATAATTATTATTTTTACTATGACGTGCTCTAGCTTAATGCAATGGTTATTTTAGTGCTTTAATACTCACATTGCTTCGGAACAATTTACGGAATTTAGTAGGGAAATTTTGATGCATCCTTCGTATAGCCCGGAACTTGCAACATCTGACTGCTATTTGCAAAACGACTATACAAAACCTCTTTAATGGTAAAAAAAAGAAACCGGAAAAACGCTAAAAATCACTTGGTTAAGTTTTTTTAGCAATAAACTACAAAGTTCTACCTTGACAGAATTATGAAGTTACCAGAAAAATGGCATAAGGTCATATAGGTATAATAATGGTCAATATAACTTGATAAAAATTGATTTTCAATAAACAAAATTTGCTTTTCAAAATTATACCAAAAATAGCGAACATTTTTTATATCACCTATTATTTATATATTAAATTATATTAAATTATATACATATAAAACAAGTCAATTAGTAAAAAATTATGGGAATATTTTCGAAAACAATAAAAAAAGTCATATGCACAACCTAAGCAAACTTAATTATGATTATATTTGTTGACTGCCCAGTTTTTTTTTAAAAAAGGAATCGAAGAGCCATACTCGAAACAAAGGAACAAAGGCGATGAACCGACCTTTGTGTTGTGATTGCTAATGCGATAACGCAGTAAAATCCTTTCTTAGACAATCGCAATGACTGACTTGTATACTGCGATTACTGATACGATAACTTAGCGAATTTCTTCAAATTTTGAATATTTAAACAATACATTCTATTCTATGTAAATGTCCATTATTTCAACTTTGTATATTTAAACCTCCATCAAAGAGCGTATATATATATATCATAATCAAATAAAAGTTTGACTTTTTTTCTTTTTGATAACTTGAATTGTACTTCAATATTTTTAAATAAAAAACACTAATTTTTTCAATAAATTTAAAAAACTGAACAATATTATTGTAAATTCAAAGTTCCATATAATAAAAAAAAATTATTTTTATTTATATTAGACACTTCAAAGAAGCTCCAGAAATGACACTTAACAGTTTGGAAAATCTAAATGAAGGTGTTTATTACACCAAAAAATACAATAAATGGATGAACCAGCTATGCGAAAAGAAATTATCAATGGATGATATTGCTAAGGTTTTGGAATTTGAAAGAAGTCTACAACAAAATGCTTCAGAGAAGAATGTGCCAGTAAGCATATATATATATATATATATATACATATATATAAATCCCAAAAAAATGATTAATTATGTTTTTTTTATAAATAGCTTAATACAGAAGCAACAGATTTTTACGTCGATAGATTTATAGATATATTAGCAGAACGGAGGAATCAAATCAATATTGCTGAACACAGAAAAAGAAATATAATGATTCGTAGGCCCAGAAAACCAGGCTTTAAGAGAAAAGCCATAAAAAAAATTACTACAAACAACAACGCTAAAAATCCGAATCCTTTACCTGTAATTAAGCCGAAACGTCAAAAAGCAAAACGAAAATATAGAAAAAAGAAAAATGGTCCAAACAAAGCGATCATTCAAAATCCTATTATTCCAAAAGAAGAGGTTCGAGAGAAGAAACAAATAAAAAAAAAACCAAAGCAACCAAAAAAAAGAAAACCTATCCAACGAAAAAAACCAGCAAAACAGCGAAAGGCAATAAAGAAAATAATGCCTATGATTTATTGTCCTCTCTTACCAAAAGACAATAATCACTCCCTCACTGATCTTATTCATTATGTAAAATCAACACCAAAAGGAAAAAAACCGAATAAGAAAAATAAACGAAAGGTTGTTAATAAAATGCAGAAACAAAGACAACAAGAAAACAAAGTCAAAGCGATCGGTAATAAAAGAGGCAAAAAAGAACTAAATAATTTTTTCCAGGCAAAAAACAAACCTGCTAATCCGAAAGGTATTTATCAGAAAAAGAAACGAAATGCTAAGAAGAATAAACGAAACATTTATAAGAAGAAGAAAAATGGTTTCGATAGAAAAAAGATACAAAAAATTTTCACGAATCAGGACAAATGTTCCCTATCAACGCAACCTTCTATCATGAGTACCGAAAACGATTCTTTCAGTGATGTTAAAATGATGGACTGGCATATGGATTCCGAAGACTTTGACTACACTCCCTATCGAACACCACAAAATAAGAAGAAAAAATGTCGCCCAGCCAAAAAACGTGTCATGAAAAAAAAACAAAAGTAATTTTAACTTAACCCGGACTTGTCGAAACTCAAAAACTCAAATCGTTCATAACAGGACTTCTACAATCTTCATATTTAAATAATATGATCTATTCATACCAAAAACCAGTTTTAAAAATATAACCATATCAACAAAGTCTTTCACATAGATTATAACAATTCATCAAAAAAATGTAACAAATAAAATGTATTAATGAAAAAGTTTTAATAGTACTCCCCGTATATATCGAAATTTTAAGTAAAATAAAAAATTTTTTAATCAAATTAATGTATATGTACTTATTGCTTAAAATCTTATTCAATGAAATACCCAGGTTCAAAAAATTAAGTACATACTTAAAGAATGATTTTAGGTGGTTGTAAGTCTTTAGTTTATAATTACACGATAACACATGGGGCCTGTAGGCCTAAGTGGATGTCTTAGGATTGCTGGTATAACCTACCTATTATCTACCTATCTGAAGAATAATAACATGAGATATTGAAAAAGATATATAACTCTACATAAACATGAATTTATTTTTATTTTTTCTTTTCTTAATTAATAATTCTTCTTTTTTACTTCATTTTTTTGCTTTTTATCTTCGTTTTTCCTTATTTTTCTTCTAACTCTACCCCCTTGTTACGTGTATATAATATAAAGTTCATCGTTTTTCAATAAATGAATACTGTATTCAATATAGCAGCTTGCAGGGCCTGAGAGTATGAAGAATAACTGTTGTAGATTGTGAACACAAATCTTTTGGATGTTTCGCACCTTCCCAAAATATATTCATTCCAATAGTTCAAAGTGATTTTTTGGCGCGTAAGGTGATCACTCCGCAACTTCTTTTAATTGTTTTGTTTTTTAATCGGAAAAAAGCTAATTTTAAATTTCAATGTATGAACAATCGAGCTATGATTATAAATAAAACAAAATTATTAAAAACGGTGCCGATATTAAACGCTAAATTTCAGTTTTTTGTAATTTAAAAATTTCTTTCTAACAAAATTAATTTTTTACTTTTGCAAAATAAACAAAAACAAAAATTGAGTTTGCTCATAACAGCTGATAGAGACAGCATATGAAAGTTAACGAAAGTTTAAAATTGTAAATGTGGTGTTGCCACAGTATAAGTTTTAAGTGTTTTTAAAAAAATAAATTTTATTAATTATAAATATTAAATTTTTTTAAATAATCAAATGAACAAACTGCTAATATATTGAAAACTATTATATGAGCGAAAAAGTTATACGACGGCATTCTCAAATTAGTGAAAATGGTCTAAATGGCTATATAATGCTAAGTACAGAGGACGTTAAAATAAATGAACAATCCACAACCAAACCTTTACATAAAGAAATTACTGAAGGAAATATATCAAAAATAGCTAGTGAAATTGCCATAGCTAATAAAATAAAATTAATTAATAATCCAATGAGCTTCTCATCAAAAAACGCAAACAACACCAATTCCAGCCAAAAAAAATGTGGAAATACACTGGTGACGAAGAAAGCGACACTCAATCGGTAAGTAGCGTCAAAAGCACGCCAATAAACACTTCCATTTATACAAAAAGATTTGGTGAAACAACGCAACCAGAATGGCAACGGGTAAACTCGTCAAAAAGAAGTCGTTCAAGTCCCCAAGGAGTTCGACAAAGTTCAAATTTCAAACAAAAGAAGCTGGATACCTATTGGTTGTCAACTGAACCCAAAAAAAACTCTAACCGATATTCCGTGCTAGATGAAGACTCTCATTCATCAGAAAAGTCCATTGAGCAAAATGAAAAAATTACAATCTCGAAGCCTCCCCCAATATTTGTTGCAGGAGTCGGTAATATACAACCATTAAGGCAGCTTCTGAATGAAATAGCCCCTAATGAATACAACTTTAAAATACTTGCCAACAATGAGGTTAAAATACAGCCTAGTAGCCCAGAAAAATACTCTGCAATCACTAAGGCTCTTGAAGCCAAAAAAAACTGAGTTCCATACCTATAAACTCAAACAAGACAGAACTTTTAACGTTGTATTGAGAGGCATGCATCCTTCTATGCCAGTCGGTGAAATCGAAGAGGCGATAAATAGCTTAGGCTTTAAGGTGGCCAATATAAGTAATATACGTCAACGAACAACCAAAAATCCACTTCCGTTATTTTTTATTGGTTTGAAACCATCAGATACAAACAAGAATATTTTCAATTGTAACAGCCTAATGCATACAAAAATCACTTTTGAAGCTCCAAGAAAAAAACGCGAAATTCCCCAATGCTCTCGTTGTCAGCGTTATGGTCATACAAAGCATTACTGTAAACGAACGCCCCGTTGTGTAAAATGCCCTGGTAATCACTTGACATCAGAGTGTACTCGTAATGTAGTCGACAATGAAGTAAAATGTGTATTATGCAACGGAAATCACCCCGCTAATTACAAGGGCTGTGAAGTATACAGGCAGCTTCAACAAAAAGCGTTTCCACCGCTCCGAAGAAAAGAAACCACTAGTCCACCAACGCGCACAGAGTTCGTTCAAGCTGGTCGAACATACTCTAATGTCGTAAGCAACGGCCAAACCATCACTAGTGAACCACAAACAAGATCAGAAAACAACGATATGTCAGAGCTGAAAGTAATGCTTAAAACACTAATGCAACAAATGAGTACTATGCTAAATATTTTAACAGCGTTCGTCGCTAATACATCAAAATAATGAGTGCGTTTAAAATTGCTTTCTGGAATGCTAATGGGCTAGCTCAACATAGCAGCGAACTACAGACTTTCCTCACTGACAAAAATATTGATATTATGTTAATATCAGAAACCCACTTCAACCAAAGAAGCCATCTCAGATTTCCGAAGTATTCTATATACGATGCCAACCACCCATCTGGAAATGCTCGCGGAGGAGCTGCGATAATCGTGAAAAGCGATATTGATCACTCTGTGCACAACAAATACGAAAAACCATTTCTTCAGTCAATATCATTAACAGTTAAAAACAATAAAGGTCCAATATGTATAGCCTCTATCTATTGCCCACCAAACCAAAAAATTAAAAGTCATCAGTTTGAGGAATTTTTCCACACGCTTGGTCAAACATTTATAGCTGCTGGGGACTTCAATGCAAAGCATACTCACTGGGGCTCCAGACTAATCACACCTAGAGGCCGCGAATTGTTTAAGACTATGCAGGCCAACGATTTGCTTCACGCATCAACTGGTGAACCAACTTACTGGCCAACAGACCACAATAAAGTTCCAGACGTGATCGATTTTTGCATATTTAAAGGAATTTCAAGCTCACTATTATCAATTCATTCCAGTTTAGATCTTTCCTCAGACCACTCTCCCCTTATTATGGAGTTGAACTCTAAAATTTTTGTAAAGAACAAAGAGCCTCAATTATACAACAAAAGAACAGACTGGAATATTTTCAGAAGCATCATAAATGAAAATTTAACAACCAACATCCCACTCAAAACCGGTACCGATATCGAATCTGCGGTCGAGCAATTTAATACAACCGTACAGAATGCCGCGTGGAACTCAACCATGCATTTTAATGAATACAAAGAAGAACACATAGACAGAGGCATAAAGGAACAGCTACTTCAGAAACGTAAATTGCGACGAATTTGGCAAATAACAAAAAATCGTGAAGGCAAAAGACGTTTGAATGAAGCGATAAAAAAACTTAAAGAAACCCTAAGGGAGAACAAAAACAAAAACATTGAAACATACCTATCTGCATTGTCTCCCAGTGAAGCAACCGACTATTCATTATAGCGGGCCACTCGTAAGCTGAATGGATCAACGCCACACATTCCACCACTCAAAATGTATAATGGACAGTGGGCTAGATCCAGAATCGACAAGGCTCAAATTTTCGCAGAGCATCTTCAAGGTGTATTTCAACCATACCCGTGCATAAGTTATGAAGACGACACTGAAATTGAGTCTTTCCTGCAAACACCACATCAAATGGACTTCCCGGTTCCTAAAACCACAATACAAGAAATTAAATGGACAATTAAGACTAAAATTAAAACCAAAAAGGCTCCTGGGTACGATTTGATTACTGGCAAAGTGTTGAAAGAGCTTCCAAACATTGGTCTTGTTTTCATCAACCAACTTTTTAATGCTATTATATGTCAAGAATACTATCCAAGTCAATGGAAAGTAGCTCAAATTATCCTGATACCAAAACCAGGTAAACCTTTAGAGTTAGTTACATCTTATCGACCTATAAGCTTACTTCCGGTGCTCTCCAAAGTCTTCGAAAAAATACTCTTAAAGCGTCTTAACCAGATCACCCAAAGTCGCTTACTAATTCCTGCTCACCAATTCGGCTTTCGAAACCGCCACTCAACCATTGAACAGGTAAATCGTGTTTATCAATATGCAAGAGATGGACTGGAAAGAAAAGAATACTGCACTGCAGCATTTATCGATATAACGCAAGCATTTGACAAGGTATGGCACACCGGACTGTTCTACAAATTGAAATTACATCTACCACACAGCTTCTATTTGTTACTTAAGTCTTATATCAATAACCGATATTTCATGGTTAAAATAGAAGACTATAATACGAAAATCTTCCCGATAAAAGCTGGAGTTCCACAAGGGAGTGTACTAGGTCCAACCCTCTACACACTGTTCACAGCTGACTTACCACTTAACCCATCAACATATACCGCAACTTTTGCCGATGACACAGTGATCATGACTAAAAGCAAAAACCCAACAGTCGCTTCTAGTCAGTTGCAAACAAACCTAGATAGCATCCAAGTGTGGCTAAACAAATGGCGCATTAAAGCTAATGAATCCAAATCTGCACAAATCACATTCACTCTTCGCAATGGTTACTGTTCACCAGTCACACTAAATAATAACGTACTACCACAATCCGATCACGTGAAGTATCTAGGTGTTCATCTTGATCGGCGTCTCACCTGGAAACATCATATATTTACGAAACGCAAGCAACTGGGTTTAAAAATGCGCTCCATGCACTGGCTTCTTTGCCAAAATTCAAAACTATCACTGAACAATAAAGTACTTTTATATAAAGTTATTTTAAAACCAATATGGACCTACGGTGTCTCGATCTGGGGAACAGCTGCAAAATCTAATATAGCGATATTGCA